CACAGTGCGTATTAGTAACACGCATTTACCTTTAAAGACTCAGCAACAAGGTAAGATTAGGCCATCAATTATCAATAGGTTATTTGAGCCATTCTCGATCTTGATTGGCTGCAGATCATTTTTTACATACAGAGTACAGAGCAACCTGAGCAACACAGAGCAATGCAGGAGTGCAGGAGGAATAAGGATCAGCCTATCCTTCATTCGTAATTTTTGTCAAGTTGGCAATGCCGACATCAAATCCATTTTTATAAAAGAAAACTGTAATGGACATCGGTTAATTACGTGGTTAATTATAACTGTTAGGATTAGCGTTTACGTTAGATCACGATTTTATAATCTTTGAGACCGTGGGTTAGATTGTCACTGTTAGAATCAAAATCAGAAGTCACTATATAGTGCTATATAGGACGAAATATTTTGGTGATGGCACTGCATAACAGGGGATCGTATAATTTTTCCCGCACGGCTCGCTTCCCCTCTTTTTCGCCCGTATTTCGATCCCCACTACTATTCTCCTCATGCGCCTTCGCTGACCATGCCTAGCATACCACCGTCAAATCAAGTACCAGTCCCCACCATGGCCGCGTCGTCCCCACTTTCCGGCCGAGGAAACAATTATACGAAAATACGAACCCTGGAGAGAAGAGAAATCCTACATTCTGGTATTCCTGTTTAGGACGTTTAGGACAGCACGGGTAGAGAAGTCCTTGCAGTCTAGCCCTAGTCCTTTCTGGCAGTACATGTTTGAGTCACTCTTCTTAGAGCTACTGGAGTGTATAATTAGTGTCTTTCAATGGTGAAGTGTTACGTTTCTATTCAGTTGTATCTACTTATTATATTTGTGATTTGAAGATGACAATTCATAAGGTAAGAACAGAAATATTTAGAACTGTATGTTCTTAATAATTAATACAGAAATTCTTTTACTGTAAAGTTTAAACGTTTCTAAAAAATATGTAAATGATTTCGTAAATTCGCGGCATAGTGAGACGTGTACGTCGCGCGCAACATTTGATAATCAACTTAGGAGCGATGTTTTCTCGTTGTCTTATAATGTTAATATGTTAAATGTTAATAGTAAATTATAAGAGAATGAAACAACCATTCCAACGCTAGCAAATACGTAACTGAATACCAGCCAGTGTTATGAGATGTTTGTATTTAAATACGGTTATTAATAATTGTGATATATGTTTAAATTTTTATTTCGACGTCCAGGGATTCCACTGATATTTTGTCGAGAATCGGCAGATCGAAAAACAAAAGTAAGTGTCCGACCTCTTGCTATTTACGTTCAGGTAGTTTCTTAAGTGCCAGAAAGGCAATTTTATGACTCGTGCATCCTAATCCTCAGTATTTCTTGACGACGATACTTTTCGGGAACAATACAAGCAATGTTCCTGTCGCAGTTTCTCTCTGCTTGTAAATAGCACACGAAGTGTTACNGGGCGAAGAAGAACGAGGCGATCTGATGCAAATAGAATATAAAGTAAAACTAATTTCTTTAATTAAGTAAAAAAAAAGAATACAGGGAACGGGCGCTACGTTTTTAAGTGGTACTTATAAATTTATTTTTGCCTTAATTCGAAAAGAATTAAACCCAGTCTTTGTCCGTAACCCGGTTTCTCCTCACATTCGGAACTTCCTTATATGGGCATTTTCCTAATTAATATTGAGAATTACTAATAATACGCCTGCAAACATCTCATAATATTGGCTGAACTTTATTACGTATTGGCTAGCGTTGAATGTTGAAATGATTCTTTCGTTCTCTTCTAAAAGTTGTAATACATGCGCCAAAATTTAGCTTTAGCAGCACCATCGAATTGCGCACTTCAAAACTTGGGCCGTGGACATTCTCATTTTCCCTCTGCTTCTATGAGCGAGGGCCATCGGGTCGGGGCATGCGTCAGGGGACGCCATGTTTATACTGTAGGTGGTTTAGTGCATGTTTAGTGCGGGTATACGTTGTCCATCATTTTCAAGTAATAACGTTTAACTATTTATTTACGCGGTATATCGCGATACATGGTATCTTGTGCAAGACAGTGTGTTACAATCGATAATTAATTATCGTCTATGATATATAGGATAATTCGGCAAACGCTAGAACGATCTATGACTTATGGACCTACGTTTCTCCGGAGTCTCTCTTTTGCTACCTCATAAATTGTTTACTTGTTGCTCCACGCTGCTTTGCGATTAAGCAGAGCCTCGTAGAACGTGCCACCCGCGCTAGGAATACAATTTCCTTTTCAGGAATCGTCCGCGGCATCGGATGGACGTGATGCATCTTTTGTAGAAGCATTTGCGTGTTTTATAACCTGACAACGCGTACCGAGTTACTCTTTCTTTATCATGTTACTACGTCTTTGACAAAGTATATTAAGCGGTAAGAAACCTATAAGCCCCCGATGGTTCCACGGTTTTGTGTCCTTTCTATGCACGTGCTCCCGTACAATCGAGAAAACTATCTCGCGGTCAAGTTGATTTATTAGACGTGCGCATATTTTGTGAAAATAATAATTATTTTTATATAATTAAATCTATGAAAATATTTTCATTTTTATTCCTTCTTCTGTGTACTATACTTTCTTTGTTTTCACTTTAAATTCTCTTGCTATTTTAATTGTGTTCTCGTGCATGTTTATGTTTTCTTTTTTTACTACTCTGTGGGATGCACAGATTTACTGTGAATGTATGAAATGTCTAGAACTTTGAATGTAGTAATCATCCACGATAACAGATATATCAATCTTCATAAAATATAAACATAAACGTGAGATTTCTGTGGCTAAGAATATGCACTTATTTATATAATTTCAATGATGAAAGTTATTTGTTTATATCTAACATAATTTTATTTAGTATTCTTTTTTCTTGGCAATTCTTATCAGTTCTCTGATTAGATAAAATTTCTGTTATTCTAATAGTGTTTATAATGTAATAAGTTTCAATCTTTATGTAAGTAAGCTTAAATGGACATATCAACTTTTAGGTATAAGAATTTGTTGATATCCTTTAAAATTCAAAATAAATGAAATTAGGTATCATTGATTATATTGTTTCAGGTCTCATCGTCGTGGTCCAACCGTCGTTCAATGAATGTCAAAATGTGGTCTTCACAAGGCAACAATTCGAATGCAAATGCTGCATCAAAAGAAGAAAAGAATCTACGTACATTGGGCATGACATCTGCTATCAGTGTAGCAGAACCAAAGCCAAGTGATCTTACTAGAACAAATGAACTAAAAGAAGCGTTGAAGCCGTATAATGTGTTTGAATCTGAAGAAGAGTTAAATCACAGAATGGAAATTTTAAGGTATTTTCTTATTAACATTGAGATTTATGATCTTAACATTGAGCACTGCTAACTATGTGTCGTTCTTTTACTAGTAAATTAAATACGTTGGTGAAACAATGGATACGGGACACAAGTATCGCCAGAAATATGCCACCCAACGTTGCTGAACAAGTGGGCGGTAAAATATACACTTTCGGTTCATACAGGTTAGGGGTACATCACAAAGGTGCTGATATCGATGCTCTATGTGTTGTACCGCGTCACATCTATAGGTCGGATTACTTTACGTCCTTTTTTGAATTACTCAAAATGCAAGAAGAAGTTACAGATTTAAGGGTATGTATCTCAGTTATCGTCAAGTAAATATAACAATAAGTTGCTTGTTTAATTTGAATTTTTTTCAAATAGCACTCGGGCTATAAGTAGGGCAATATATATTTAGAATGATCAATTAATTAAATAATAAAAGTCTTTACATAAACTCATTACAGGTGTCTCATAGTGTATCCATTTAATGAACTCAAACTTTCGCATTTATTTACTTATTGTTTTTTAATATCTTTTAGGCAGTGGAAGAAGCTTTTGTTCCAGTGATAAAGATGAATTTTGATGGTATCGAAATCGATATGTTATTTGCTAAACTGGCACTTAAAGAAATCCCGGATTCAATGGTTAGTAATTTATAATGACGCATTTTTACCTCGTCTAGTAGAAGTAATAATATTTGCTCTCATCAAATTCCTGCTTTGAGTCAACGTATATTTGCAATATACGTTTCATAAAGTAATTGTTTGATCGTTTGCTTTCTACACGTTTTACGTAGACTTAATATTTCTCAATTTCGGCGTACTAAATCCACTTTGCGAGAATTCGTTAATCAGGCGATAGTAACGAATGATTTATCTACAACTCGTATTCTTTTTCCTGTTTATACGTATGACAATTGTTTCATGTGCATAATAATTTTTTTTAGGATCTTAGAGACGATATGCTTCTTAAAAATCTCGATCAGAAATGTGTGAGGAGTCTTAATGGTTGCAGAGTAACGGATGAAATTTTACGTCTAGTACCTAATATAGAGAATTTTAGGTTGGCTCTTAGAGCCATTAAACTGTGGGCAAAACGTAAGACAATTTTACTTTTTGACTTTCACATTTTGACGTATAAAAAATATATTCTCTCATTTGTTCTCGTTTCTTTATTTAGGACATGGTATATATAGTAATGTATTAGGATATTTAGGAGGTGTGTCTTGGGCAATGTTAGTTGCAAGAACATGTCAACTTTATCCTAATGCGGTCGCAGCTACATTAATAGAGAAATTTTTCCTCGTATTTTCTCAATGGAAATGGCCACAACCAGTACTTTTGAAGCAACCTGACACTGTTAATCTAGGTTTCCCGGTTTGGGATCCAAGAGTAAGTATATATGTTTGTCTACTGATTTTTCATATCACGTTTGTCACGGTTCCTAAACCAGTGTTTTTCTTTCAACAGGTAAATATATCAGATAGGTATCATTTGATGCCAATAATCACGCCTGCATATCCCCAACAAAATTCAACGTTTAATGTATCGGTATCAACGAGAACTATTATGCAAGATGCATTCGAAACTGGTTTATCGACAACAGAAGAAATTATCATGGGAAAAGCAACGTGGGATAAATTATTCGAACCTCCAAACTTCTTTGGCAAATATAAACATTATATTGTATTATTGGCTAGAAGTTTGACGCCGGAAGATCAGCTTGAATGGTGCGGGCTTGTCGAGTCAAAAATACGGCATTTGATAGGTAAACTATTGAACGTACTAAATATATTCGATCGAACTGTATGAATATGATAAAAAGATGTTGATAAACATGAATTAATCACACTACACATACAAGATATTAAATAGAAATGAAAAAAGTGTGACACGTTGAAATTTATTTTTTACAAGTTCGCAGTTAAATTTTAAATACTGTTTCATTATTACATCTGCTATTCTCTATAATTTGTATAACATCTGGTAAAATTATAGTCCGCGCTAAAGGTATTTAAAAGATACTAACGAGACATCCGAGTGCTGTTGTTATTTATCATATCATATTATGTTTGTTTCAGTTAGATGACGTAGATTAAAACAGCTTATTTTTATTATACTGTAAATTTTTAGAGTCGTCTGCATAGGTTTTCAGATTATAATTGAATGCATCTTTCGCAGCCGTAAGTGATAGTTTCGAATCAATGAGCTGTATAAGTTTCTGTCTTAATCTGTGTCTATTCTAATCATGATACTTTGACTTTGAACGTCTATCTTTATTGATGTCGCAATGCTAATGCGGGTGCCAAAATGGCAATATCCTAACTCTTAAAAACAGGTACGCTGGAGAGGAATCCTCACATTACATTGGCACATGTAAATCCGGAAGCGTTCCCACCATTAGAACCAGAGCCAGAGGGTCACTGTTCTATGTGGTTTATTGGACTATTATTCGCCAAAAGCGAAAATTTAAACGTTGATCTAACATATGATATTAAATCCTTCGTTGACTCGAGTAAGTACCATATATTATTTTAATGCCTTTTTGTATAAGGACTTGAGTTGGTTAAATTTTAATACTCAATTACAATGTCACATTACAGTTCAAAGACAAGCGGAACAATTGAGTATGTTAAAAGACGGCATGTGGATCGAAGCGAAGCATGTTAAAAGGAAGGATCTACATACTTACGTATCTCCCAGTTTGCTCAGACGAGAAAGAAAAGTATGCATTATTTTGCTTCTGTTTCAATATTTGTACCTTTAGGACAAGTATCAATTGACAATTTATTGTTTCGCAGGTTTCTGTCAGTGTGCATAAAAATGGAAATATTGCTGGAAATGGTAACAGCGGCAGTGTTTCCCCACGTAATCAAGATGCAGCGAACAGGAAGAGATTGTCGGATCAGAATCCAGACCCGTGCGGAAAAAAGCGAAAAGTTAATGATGCCGAGCAACCAGTGACACAGGTATGTGATATGCAAACAGTAATGAATAATCGAACAATAGGATATTGAAAGGAAGATAATGAAAATAACTAATAATATTTTTAGGGAGAGGACGGGTCTTTGGTGGTTCAGTCTTGCGGAGAAGATAGCAATTCCGGATTTAGCTTGGATGAATACAAGCAATCGTTGACAGCTACTAAGGATGTAAGACATTGTACATATAATGAACAATAATCAACGTAGTCCAAAATTAGGTAACTACATATAAAAATAGAGCATAGTAAATCAATTTTGGATTCATTGGAGGAGAAATTATCTTTTAACAAATATTGGCGGTAAGAAGCGGAGAGACGTGGTAGTGATATTGCTTGTTTTTAATGTTCCGCTTCTTTTCCTGACTTTAGTATGCCCTGACATCTCGGCATTTTATTATTTATTACTCGGCACTTTAATTCTTTTTACTTGATATGTTTCAGGAGGTGCCTACTGGTGCATCTACAGTAGCACAGGAAGGATATGTTTGCACTTGACCACTACAGGATTACTACCTCACATCGATCCGCAGATGCTCTGGGCCATCTAGGCTGTAATCACTTCTCATGCAACCATCCACTGCCCACTGTAAGTCCCCCGTTTCGTAAAAACAAAGCAGCGTCATGCGTTGAAGAGAGCTACCCGTTGGAGTCGATTGCTGCACGACTGTGCAATAGACGCTCTGATTTTAATATTTATGAGCAACATCAACAGTCAATGGAAGCAGTCATGCTACAAAACCAACGTTTGTGCCAGTGTCTGTGATGTCATCATTGTCATTTCCTTTTTAAATCAGATACCGCTCTAATGACTTGGGAGATTCGTGGTCGACAGTCTAGAAGTAATAGAATTTAAAAACCATCACTTCGTATCTCGAAGGTTCATAATTTTATTTTTATATTTCATTTTGTATATATCGCTTATGATAATTTTTATCTACGAAATTATTAAAAAAAGAAAAAAGAAAATACGTAAAAAGAGGGAAGAGGAGTAAAGATGAAAGAGACAGGCTAGCGGGTCTGGAGAATGTATCGTATTGTCATATTAGAGTGTGAATACAGTACGGTATTTTGGTTATAAGTTTGTATTAGGGTATTTTTCAGATAAATGAAAAGAAAAAAGGAGAGAAAAAATATTAATGTTTCGATATTAACGACGATGAAACGTATTCTTGTATAAAACGCATTTCTTTAATGCATAAGTGGATACAAAAAAGTACGTTTAAGTTGTAAATATTTTGTGCAAAGTTTTGCTACTTTCGTCTCGATATAAGTTACACAAAACAATCTGTCTGTTTAAGTTGTAATCGTAACATGATATAGCGATTTAGTCATTTATAGAAAGATATTTATATATCCTTATCTAATACATATTAATTTATATTATCGTGCTAAACGGATGTCTTAAGAATTCTCAGTTGCTGAAACGAGCTCAATTTTCATGAATACGATATTGTTTAATTTTCGAGTAGAGGATTGAACATTCGTTTTTCTCTTTCTTTTTGGTTTCATTTCTTTTAGGGTAACCATTTTGATAACGAACAAAAATCACCGGCACTGGCATAAGAAATTTGGATGTTTCATTTATAGAATAAACGGATTATCAAGTTAGGCACTATTGGTCATTCGTTAGAAAATATCTCTAAATGAAACATCCGTATACAAGCCATTGACTATCTTTGTTGACCATCGTGTTACGTAAGAAATGAGTTTCGTATGGAAAGCCAGTTTTTAGTTTTTATTCACAGAAAAACGAAGTTATAGCTTTAACAATGCAACACAGGACTGGCGTCTGGATTATTCAGATCATCTACATATCACCTGTTGGTGAGTTTTTTCAGGTGTTCGACTGCTTTCGGTCCCCCTTCACTTTAAAATTCTATCCTGTCATGTTTCCTCCGACTCTGCCTTTTTATCATACCATATTTTTCCTTCATTAATCATCATTGTGTTAAAGGCATGTCGGTTATAACGAGCGAGGTATTTGATGTTCACTCTTTAATAATTATATGAATATAAATATCGATATGTACATTGAAACGTACAGTCTTATTATAGTCTGGAACTAAGTATTTGCAGAGTGACCATTTCATAAGTCAACACAATTATTATTTGCCTAGATGTTAAGTTTACAAGTTTCTTTCGAAAATCTGTTCGGTGTGCGATCGAGATTTGTTACGATACTCTGCGAATATTGTAGTTATTTCTGTTCGGTGCTTAAGGACCATTTCGTTTTCTGTAAATATTTGCGCTCCTGGTGTAGCATATACTTTCCTTTGTATAGGTTTTCTTCGTTCGCGAAGTTTTATTTTGCGCCAATTGATGTGTACAATTGCCAAATTATGACTTAGGAAACGATTTTTCCCTTCTTCCTTATTTCGTTGTAATCAAACTAAATTCGTGTATGATGGACGAGCGTTATGTCAGCGTATTCGTGTATTTATCGTTAATTTTATCAGTCTACGATTCTTGTGATATGAACAAATTTCTATAGTACGAAATAAAATGTATTGGTTCGATATTCATCAAAGTTCTAGAATTTTACGCATATACCGAGACTTTCAAGCCTTGAATAATAATTTTTCTTACAGAAAGAAATTGATGATTCGTTGTACTTTCAATCGTGTAAAGAGAATATTACTTATTCTACCTTACATGTATGCACTTTACCTTACATGTATGCACTTACCTTGGTTACGTTTTTTTTCTAGTAAAAGAACAAGTTATGTTCCTCTTTCTTTTTTTTCTTCGAGAAATTTAAGGATGACCTGATAATGTGCAATACGTAATTTTTTAAAAACGTTTGACTGAGTTTTTAGTCATTAGGAGTCTAAAACGTATTGGCTAATCGGAAAGACGAAAGTTACGATTGTAGAAGGAATATTTTTGTTTGAAAAATACATGGTTTGTAAAATTGAGAGCATATAAAGTAAAAAAATTTAGGACTGCATATACAATAAGCTCGATTTGTATTTTTCCCAACAAAATTGTATCTTTGATCGGAACTTTTCGTTTATTAATACACATATAGTTCTGTTTTTAAACTATTTTCTAAAGTTTGAATGACATAGTAAGAGTAAATGAAAACAGCGAAGATATGACCATTTTTTTAATAGATAATTATCATGTCACGTTAACAGATCTTACAAAAACATTTCAAAGTATACGGATATTTTTCAAACAGTCCAAACTTCCTCTATGACTATCTTCGTTCGAGTTAATTGTCGCATTTTTCAAGATTCCGCAGGAATTCTAGATTTATTATCCTACTGCTTTTCCTGATGTGTATTAACGTTGTGATTAAAAACGCTGTACTGTCATAATACAACTAATTTACTTATCCATATAGGTTGTATCATTAGTAAGCTGCTATTGTCATTGATATTGTTATTGTTATTATTATTATTATTATAATTTTTTAATATGGATGTAACGTATACGCAAATAACAGCTAAAGGCACGTCATAAAAGTCCAATGCTGCTTGCAAAACGATATCTAAACAATCTGGATAGTATATCTTTGATTACTGGATCTGGACACTACTATTCCAGGCGGATCAATGTATCATATAAGTAGTGAACATCAAACATTATCCTTGCACGAACTTAGAATAAGTCTAGAACGAGTAGGTTGTTCCTTCGTTATTTGGAAAGAAACAGAATGAGATCCATGCATTGTTCATTTACCTATTCCTTTTTTTTTTTTTAATTCGAGGCGTCAGACATGTCTATAACACACATATTTTCCCGACTCATACTCCAGAACGTCGTATCGTTCGTCCGTTACAACGTTTTGGAGTCAAAAGTAAAACATAAACGGAATGTAAACTAAGAAACGAAACGGTGAACATCGTCCGTGACACACCTCCCTCTTGTACAATAAAAGCAAATAAAAAAAAACAAGAAAACCAAAAAGTTGATAGAAATTTGCTGAAGGCAAGATCACTTATCGTTTAGGAACAAATATCACGGTAATTTCGAAGATTTCGTGTCGCGATCTGTTCGTTGCGTCGAGCTTAGAAGTCGGTCGTTGTCCTGTATTATAATCCCCTTTCTCTCTTTATCTCTCTAATCTCTCTAATAGAACGCGAAATCGAACAAGACGTTTAATGGACACTCGCCACCGTTAATTAAGACATGTGTACACACGCTCACGCATAAAGATACAAAAGCAGAGAGAATACAGAATTTCGTACACGGTACACACCTGGCATACCCACACAGGACACACGCATATTCACATATTTACACACATGAGAGGACTGCGTGTACAGACGCACGATTTTATATGGAACACAACTATTACGGAAGAGAGTAATCGCGAATGCATTTACGAAGTTACGTGTCAACGTGTGAACGCATGAATCATTTGTGTGAATGAGCGAAAAATTAAAGGAAAATAAACAGCATCGAATACATTACCATGTGTTTATATGATTATACATCGAACACAAGTTGTATCGCGATACACCGGGACACGGTCCTCTTCATAAAATGTCTTCGTGTAGTACATATGGTCGTGCAAAGTGGTATGGATTCCATTCTTAGTCAACAAGTCATGAATTTATCTTGGGCTCTCGATTTACTGGAAAAGTACAGAAGCTACAATAATTAATCAATCGCCTTTATTAAAGTTCCTTATTTTTTCTTTTCTATTTTATTATGAATATTGGAGTGCTTTCAATTTTTCCTGATAACAGACATGATGCAGATAATTTTTCCTGTTTAAGATAAAGATTTTCTTCATTTTATATAAGTACAACATTTTCTTTAAAATACTTATGTAGATACAGACATGTACAGGAATAACTCATTTTATCGCAACTTGATTGGAAAATTTGATAGCACATCGTAAAGTACTTTTCGACGAATTTTATTGCTAAGAATACGTTCCATACCATTGTGCACCAAGCGATCAAATCATCGTTCTGTTTTACTGGTCCCGCGATCGTGTGTTCGATTATATGTACGGCTCATTATAAAAATCCGAAACCGCGTGCATAGGTCGTTTCTTATTATTTTTTTCATCTCGGATATTTCGCGTGAGAAGGGATCGGCGTCGATCATCCACACCGTTGCTTAAGTTCCTGCCACTGAAAGTACGTAACGTACTTAGGTACACACGTGCTCGCGAAACGATGCGCATATATACAATAGATTGCAGTGCGATGGACCGAGTGATCGGTGTATCGTGAAGGCCGTGTGCGCATTAGCTGTTACTCCACTCGTAGGATCGGGGTCGTTGTAAAGAGATAACAGACGACGCGACGGCAGGGTCCACGTGCTTCGACCTGGCAATAGGGAAAATTATTTACCACAGAGCACGATTTATGTGCATAATTTGTATCCCTCCACTACAGTTGTACATCTTTCTGTATCTTTCTTGAATAAACCGAAATAAATTCTTTTAATTCCTTCAGCCAAACATGCGCCGTGTTTCACGACGATTAAATGGAATGACATGTAACAGACGAAGTTCCATTGTTGCGTTGCTAAAATAGATGGAACACGCGAAATATTATCAGCGAAGGAAAATTGATTTTCACATTTCAATTGTCATTCTATCTTGTCATCGTTGAAATGTTCGTTTTTTCCCATTCCAATAATTATCCTTCAATAAATACCTGTTTGTCAACAGTGTAACATTTATTGTAACATGAAGTAAATAGAACAGCCGTTTTTTTTCTACGCGTTTAGTTAATGAATGTAAGAGTTAATAATAGTAATCATTTAAATAATACTTTTCAAAACAGATAGGTACGCCATCGATGCTTTTACTATCTGCGATAAAACAAGAAGTATTAAAAAACGTTGAATATATTCGAAAATATTGCATTTAGTCATTAGCGTAACTGGGAAAGTGCCACAGTAGGCGTAGCCACCCCTAAAATGTGAATTAGCCTCTGGTTTAGAAATTATTGAAATATGTAATAACATTCAATACAATCTTATTTTCATTTTATAAGAAACAAGCTAATATTTGGGTCGGAATACAATATGCAGTACAGTTATATGGTGGCTCGGTCTTCTGTAGCAAAAGATCTCAGCTGTGACTGTATATGTAGTGAACAACTTACTATGCCGAATGTTTCTAACGAAAATACGTAGAATTTGCCAGCAGTTAAGTATGACGGTTTCTGCGATCGAGCTATTATAAACGTTAAGGATCGCGTAAATTTTTCTGGCAAGTTGTACCAATTCACAAAGTAACAAGCCAGCTGTATTTCATTGCTCTGTAAATGGAAACAATTTAATCGTTTCAATCATGACAAATTTAACTTGAAAAACTCGTTTTTAATTTGTATTATTTTTAAGGAATTATAACGTGACGATAACAATAAATACATGATTACTTCAAATGTGTTTTCTTATAATTACCTCATTAATTAAACACTCCCCCAAGAAACAATAGCAAAATGCCAATAATATTACAGCGCAAGAATAAATTACAAAATGTACGGTATTCATATCCTCGCCGGACTCAGATGTCTATAAAGTATTATTATATGTATTCTTGTTTAAATAATAAAGTACTTTAGATTAAGTGCACATCAGAACGTACTAAGTATCATCAAATACTTATTGTTAGTTAATTCTTTGACCTAAAATGGAGTCCTGTACTTCCACTAAAATTCGTGACTCAAAGGATTAAGTTAATTATATTTTTAAATCAGTGCAAAAATATCACAAAAGTAAAAATTAAATATTAATGAACGCAATCAAGGCATTACCGTGAGCAACTGATAGACGACGATGCATAAAGAGAATATTAATCCTATGGTTTGTATAAACATCAGAGAACTAAACGTCTCCGCCAAAATCTCTGCCAATCTAGAATAGATTTAACGATTATCATCTAATGTCATCAGCTAAATAATTGAACTGTTTAAAATTTCATTCTGCCATGATTAGTTTCATTTCGTAATCTCACCGTAAAAGCTCGGTGTGACGTTCAACGAGTATCCTCATTTCTGGATAATATATTTTCGAATCTGTACTGATATTTCTAACCCGTTGCGCTAAGATCGAAAGTTGACTACAGAGGTGAAACGTTAACGTCACCAGAAGACTGTCAGCACCAGTTGCACCGATTGTTAGCACCATACTTACTGGTATCAAATAAATGCAGAATAATACATACATTCGCATTTCCGTCACTTCATAAACGTTATTCACCTTCAGCGGTAATTCGTAGGGAAGAGAACAATTAATATATTCTGCGAATCAAGAAGAGATATTTTAATGAAGAATAAGTACCTGCTTGAACTGTTTCAAATAGAATTAAGCGAATATGTATGAATTATATTGAGATAATAAAGGACACAAATGCTATTATTTCTCTTGGCAATAGAACTCTCATTAATTGTTCGAAGCAGCATTTTTTAGATATCTCTTAGTAAATGTCAATGGAAATTTATATTTTTTGAAATCAAATTAAATATTGAAAATTGAACAAAGTCGCGGTTAAATAAAAATTGATCCTATTTATTTATTATTATATATGAAAAATGAAGAAATATGAATATCGCCGAGTACATAAATTTCTGTTTACTTGACGAACGAGTGAACGACCAGAAAAAGAAACAGTGTGCAGTAAAATCCTGCACACACGACGGGGCTCGTAAAGCGTAACCGTTTGTGTACCATCAGGAAAGTAACTGTCACCTTGGGACACCATAAAACTGCATACGCGAAGGTAACTGTACAAGCGATCACGTCGATACGAATATCGGATGCGGTTTCCGAATCCGAACGAATGAAGTCTGTATCAAGCCATTGATTTATCTCGCCCGTGCATCCTCGAAGAGTTGATAATATCAGTTAACTTAATAAAACTCTCATTTTTACAGTCTTCTTCGCCCCAAAATATAATATTTTGTATCTCACAATCAGTGGAATACCAGCGTCATGAATTTAATGTTATTACGTTTTACGATGTTGTCAAGCATATTTTTCTCTTCGAATTATAAGGTTTATTATAGTACATTATATTTTTATGACTGAGAATTTTTTAAGTAAAATATATTCACACGTACACGATATTTGAAAGCTTTTAGAATGTTACGATCAATTTCGTATACGATTAGAAGTGCATCTTCAAAATTTATTATATCTATACATTTATTGATAAATTATTCTGATTGACTTCACCTCCGATCGATGAGACGATACACAACCGAACTTACTCGATAAAAGACAGCCGATGATCGGCTTGGAATAAAACAACATGGGCACGAAAAATAAAGACAAGGCCGATGAAGTGGAGAACAATGTGGCGGCAACATTGTACCAGACAACCGTTTGCCTCTCTTCCGGTGATCGGTGCAATCCTTGATCCACGTCCTTCTTCACGGCCGCCAGCAACGGTAGAGTCATATGCATGTTCAACCGAAACATGACGGCCTTCAGCACTATCAAGATGGTCGGGAACGATAGCGTGATGTTCTTCAGCGTCTTTTCAAGGTCGTGCATGTTCTGCAGCAGGGTCACGATCTCCAACCAAGTGAAGATCACGATGTATGTAATGTAGATGAAAAATCGAACGTCCGACCGATTATTCGGCCAAAGACCAGATAAGCTCAAAAGACGTTTACTCCATGAGAGCACGTTCTCATCATAGAGTAGGTCCATATACGTCGATATTAGTTTTCTCATCCTCGAAAGGACGTGGCAAGTTGACTCGAGGTTTTCCAAATTCAGTACTAATGTAATTAAAACTTAATAATTATTAAGTATTCTTTTCTATTCTTCTTATTATTCTTGTTTTTTTTTAATGTCAAGAGTATCGTAATTTATGGCTGTTAATGAATGATAAAAATTATATGGAGATTAGATTCCATGTCCATTAGAATCTGATTTTCATCTTAGGAGTACAATTCCTACTGTTCATTCGGTTTACAAAGATTCTCATCTATTTGTCAAAAAACGATTATAAATTTAATATATTTGCTTGATTGTCGCGTGTATTGAAAAGCTTATCGTTATTTTCCGATTGACAGTCGAACTTCGTATGTACGACGTTTGGGAGAGAACTGACAAAAAACAGGCATGTTGAAAAAGATTCTCGAGTACTCGTCTTAGCGACAAGCTTGCCCGATCGATACTAATTTTCCTTTAATAAGTGATTACATATTCTCCGGTCGGTGTTGTCGCGAAGGCGGGTCACGCTATCGGCGCGAATTGTTCGTGATTGCTCGATATCCTAGTGGCTGCAATTTTCTGACAGACAACGAATTTGCATACGTTATCGAGTTTCACGTGTCTCGGAAGCTACGCTATGACGCCGCAAAGTTACATTAAAAAAAGAACACATGATGGTGCAATTATTACTTTCCTCCGACGTTTATTAACAACTTCAGTTTTGCATTGAATGCTCGGCGACCTACAGTGCGATTATTTTCGTCGCTCTGAATTCGTTCGAAGAATTTGAAACGCTACGCATACTGTTCGATCATTAAAAACTTCAGTCTTCAACTGAACACGGTGGGTGGATTTATTTTTGCTGCACTTCGATTTTGACGCATCCGAAGAATCTGCAGTTAAGTTAGAAACACTTAAACGTGTTTAAACTTCATCTAATATGAAAACTTCAAAATGTATGTATCGAAAAGTGTGTATAAAATGTTGTCAAAATTAAATTGATGTACTGATTCGGTACATCTAAGGTGAGCGATGAGCACTGATTTGAGAGATCCGAGCTACAGAACCAAAAATAATAGTTACAGAACCGATATATTACCCGTTTTGAAGTACTGAAATGAAAACCGATATAAGTCAGGAATGAGATATCTAATAATATAACAGTTACGATATGTTTTCGGTTTTGCTTGTCTGTTTTGATCATAATCGATATATAACAATTTGGAACAGTTATTTCCGGAATCTTTTCAATTCCTGTTTCATATTTTTCGTTTACCGCAACTTATTTACGAAATGTAAGTATTTACTAATCATTACATTAATGATATTGCAATTCGTTAAACGGAATCATCAAAACTCATCCAGCGGAAAATGTTTATCCAGAATATCACAAGATCGCGCGGGTAAGAACAATCGATAGATGTAATTCGGAATAGAATAACGGGCGGCGAATCGGACAAGGAGTCCTTATTCGAGGACGACGAAGAGCGCGTGTGCGCGGCGCCGGAGCTAGCGAATGCAACCAGTGTCATGCAGTCATTGTACCGAGTGCACGTGGGAAACGCTGTTCAAGCAGAGGAAAACACGGAAATCAGTGAAAAAATAAAAGCGATATATAGAGGATTTGAAAGGTAGAAGTACCGAAGCAAACGCGATTCGAAATGAGGTACAAGCGTATCGGTACCATCGGCGCGGTTCTGATCACAATTTTGTGCCTCCTGTCGGGATTGATGTACTATTTTAATCAAGGTATGTGATTTTAGTTGTGATCACTTATTTAAATACAATCCTACCGTGTGCCATAAATCATGTTTCTTTATTCTCGTTTTATGTTAAGCACTGTTCATTTTTCATTTTCCTATTACTATCAACTGCAGAAATATTTTTTTATAATCTTTCCATGTTTTGTCATTTTTCCAAAACTTGCGTAGAATTATTGTGTAATCGAAGTGGAGAAGGTATTGCTATGATTTAATAACAAACACGATGAATAGAGATAGTTATAGCCAAACCAAAGCCAAAGATAAGATTATTTTTATCATTGTGGGTCAGAAAGTGTTAATATGCTGAATTGTAATAAAATTTTTATATCTGTCTATAAATACAACTCATAATTTATAGGTTTTCAAAATGTTAATGGAGATATTATGTTAAGAATAATGATTTAATACGAGCTCCATGCCTTTAAGTACCAAACCAAGTATCTAACGTATTGGTAATAGTTTATTCGTACAATTTTAAGATTAAATAATTTTTCAAATGTCAGCTGCGTGTATTAAAATATAGATTCTACTTCGCTCAACTAGAATTGATTCTTTTAATAGCAACAGTCATAAATATGAATAATGAATCAATTAAAGAAGATAGAGAATGTAACCAGATGAATATGAGGAAAGAAGTCAATAAATTAAATAATTATCAATCGTCCCAAGGCAATAATACGCCTTGATCTGCAAGCGAGAGATCAGTTTTAAATTATTGGCTGTTCGTAATTTTTACGACTTGTTAACATATTTCTTGTGCTCTTGAATAATTATTATTGAACACGTACGTACATAAATTGACATATGACGTAAGTTTTAATTTATATGATTCTAGACACTTGTCCTGTGGGAACATTCCTTTGTCACAACACCACTATTTGCCTACCTCAGAGAAACTGGTGCGATCAAGAAGATCAATGTCCTTACGGAGATGATGAGATGTTCGAGAATTGCAGTTCGTTTCGTTATTATTACACTCACTTTAGCGAGAAACATGTTATACGGAAATTGTTACTTTAATTTATCGTTTGCTTATTTTACTTTTTGCGCGTACATAACTCTGAAAAAGTCGAGTGTCCCGTTCTTTAAATGAAAACAAATTAAATTGAAAATTTAGTTACGTCGTTTGACGTTTTTATGCGCGCCTCTTTACACTGTATAAATAAATATAATACCGAACAGAGTGACGTAAAAAATATTATTTTGTATGCAGATGATTATCACGGCGTATTGGACTGGTTTGGCAGTGACAGAGACTCCGAACCCGTAAGGGAGTTCGTTTGCGGTAATGCAATACGCGTAATTTATCGTACAACGGAACGCAATATCGAATAACAGAAAAACGCGACGTTTAAAGTACAACACTCAATGAGTAAGATAAGAATTGCTAATTTACGGATTTTTTTCCTCCATTTCGTAGATGCCACAGACATTCCAGTCGGATGCAAGTACGTGAAGTGTCGCGTGACTTGCTACGAATATTCCGAAATTCCCCGAAACCTATCTCCTCAGACAACATCTATGTACGAATTTTAAATATTCGTAATAGAACTCTACGTATTCTTAATATGTATACCATCAGTCGACTTGTTTTTAATAATGTTCATCAATTCTTTTAGAACATTGTATGACAGTTCGATTGAACGTGTACGAATGGGTGCTTTCGCACAATATTCAGAAATTCGTATATTGTAAGTACATGCATTATTTTTATCTACTGCTATGCCTCCTTAATGATGATGCACAAATAAAATGATGACGACATAATAATTTCTAGATATTTAGACAATTCTGGTATATATACAATTGAGAAGGGTGCTTTCCTAAATTTAACAAAGTTATTCTGGCTGTAAGTATAGATGTAATAATAAGATCTGTTATTCTTTCTTTAACGAATATTTAAGAATTGCTTCCAAATATAATTATCGTGAACAGAGCTTTGGATCACAATCAAATCAGTGAATTTCTTCCGGGACATTTTACGGGTCTAACTAACTTGGAATCTTTGAGAGCTAATAAAAACAAACTAATTGTAGCGGATTTCTCAGACTTTCAGGGATCTGATGCTTTGTATTTTATGTGAGTTGTTATAAGTCATAATGCCATTACGAATATAAATCCTTCTAGAGAATTAGGATAAGTTCTAAGTTTCAACTACGTTCTTGTAGAAATTTGAATGAAAATCATTTAACTTCAAAAACGTTGAGGTTGCCGGAATTGCCAGCGCTTAACGAGATGTAAGTTAATTTATTGTTTCTGTGAAGTGGAGGCATTGAAAACGGTCTTAATATAGCCAGCTTTCAGATTATTGGATGAAAATGATTTCGAAACGATATCCGATACGTTGTTTGCTGGCTGTCCAGCATTAAAATCACTGTACGTACGTAAGTAAATATTCAACATAGAAGATTAATGCCTACGCATCTACATCCACGTTGCCCATCCACTTTTAGAAATTCATTTATTCTTATTGTCAATATGTGGCATAATAACACAATTCTGTTATCGAAGTACATATTAGTGCAGTTAAACATAAAATCTCTCAAACATGATTATTTATAATTCATACTTTGAATAATGTATCACCTGTTCTTGTTTTATACATTTGTATTCGTTCGCATAAATGCATGAACTCACACGATCAATAAAAATTCTCAATTATCTTTAGAAATTATGATAAGAATTTTTGTCTTGAAAAGATTTACTAATGATATAGATTAAGGGGTTAAACTGTTTGTTTAATTCACCATAAACTAAACAGAAGTAATCTTCTCCAGGAGTATACAAAAGAATAAAATAAAAACGATTGATGAGAAGACGTTTCGAAATTTGGAGCAGCTGGTCGAACTGTAAGTTTCGCGTTACTTTAATTCGTGGATGTGCATCCTACGTATGTAGCAAAGTAACAAAGTTATGTTCGCCTACGTTCTACATCATACGGCGTCGTGCGAAACGGACTTTTTTTCCCTTTCAGTAATTTGGCGTTCAACGAAATAACGACCGTCCCGCTGAATGTATTCCAACCATTAAAAAATCTGACGAGACTGTAAGTACACGAGGCACCGATATCCACATAAATTGTAACGTTACACGTTTTAAGCTACGCGCGTGCTTGCAACATGTTTACCTGATATTTACCGTCGGACACACGGCGCGGCGTTAGAAAAGCAAACGAGAGGAACGTCACGTATGCCGGCGTTAAAACTTTTATTTATTACGCCGGCACGTACGAAAATAAGTCGAGTACGATTAGCTGTTTGTCATTATTGCGACTTCACGTAGAATCAAGGTTCACGTGGGATGGATTAATTGGCGATTGAAATTAAATAAATATAATAGCAATTATTGGTTACAGGCAATTAGGCTACAACCCTCTCCATAATTTGCCGATGGCTGTATTGAATCCATTGACAAAACTTTTATCCCTGTAAGTGTTATTAATACATCTGTATCAATAGTAGATATTTATAATTATTAGACTGCGGATATTTATTCTCTGCGGATTATTATTATCTCTTTTTTAATCTTATACGATTGCGATTAATTTCATCAAAATTTTAGCGATTTGGAGGACATAAATTTGGATGTAGAGAAAAACGCGTTCGATGTGTTCCCGCAATTGGACTTCGTGTAAGTAGATTCATCCTCGATTAGTCAGACACGAGTTCATTTCCATTATAGACAAAATTCTCGTGATCACGTAAGATTTACGGCGCTCGCAAAGCACTATTTATTGCTTTTCATTGAATGAAACGAATCCTTTGATGTATCAATGATAATTTTGTACGTTTTTTAGATATTTCAAAAAGTTTCATTATTGTGCAACTTATGCACCAAAGGCACGACGATGTCGTCCTACCAGTGATGGTAATATTTAAAACACAATATGTAGTTTAATAGCTCAAGTATATCCCAGATATGTACAGTATTTACGAGATATTGATAGATTTTTGAAAAATTTCATATAACGTTAAAATAATATTGTTATTTAATATATTTTCGTTTTTGTTTAATTTCTTACGTAGGCGTTTCTTCGTTATCTCACTTACTTGATAAAACACTGTTACGAGCAGCTGTTTGGGTAATTTCATGTGTTACGTGTATGGGTAACTTACTCGTACTTTGGGGAAGATTCGCAGCCAACGACGAAAATCGTGTACTGACTATCATCATCAGAAATTTGGCAGGTGTCTCTTTTATAGCTTCTTTTACCTAAGCATACGCATTTATATAAAATTCTATAAATATGTATGTAGATAGAAAACAAGTATTCACAAGGATAAATATTTTCGTTTGCTGAAAGCGTTATGAAAACTATATTTAGTTTCAATATCGTTCAGCATAAATTATTGAATTAGGCTAAAATTAAGATTGATCTTATCTTCATACAGTTTCCGATATGCTGATGGGAATATATCTATTTCTAATCGCTATGGTGGACATAATATTTCGCGGTAATTACAATCAAATTGCCAGTTCGTGGATGTCCTCTTGGTACTGTACATTGGTAGGAGTTTTGGCAATGACGTCTCTGGAGGTATGTCTACATAGCCATATTTTGTCTAAAAATTGGGTTTTTTAAGTTAATTGTTTGGTGTTTAAAAAAGAATCGACAGGACCTTAAAAATTTTTTACTATTGTAATTATCGAATTTTAAAATTACTATCATATTTTACTTCTTAAAATTATTCACAGTATTTAAAAAATATCATCATTAATTAAATTTTCAATAATTAATCCTGACTTCCTCAATTATATTATACATATGCCACTTGAATATTTCATATAATATGTATAGCCTTTCTGTCTATCATGACAGTTATTAAACTTCGGGGCATGTCATATATCTTTAAATAAATTCAATCTGTCAAGGTTTCAGTATTGATCTTGTCATTCATGTCATTGGAACGATATGTGTTAATCGTGGCACCACTAAAAGGTCACCGTACCGCGACACCCCGGACGACATCCGTGTCAATGATGATTATCTGGATCATTGGAATTATTCTCGCGCTTGTGCCAGGTTTGTCTTGCCATTTTTTATTCATTCACGCGACACGTGTTATGGGTATGAGCAAACACATGCGTTGTAGTATCACTTAATATGTACTTTAATTTATTATTTCATTATATTTCTACCTATTGCCTGAAACTTTTTTTACTTGCTTACAATAGAAGAATCATAAACATAGTCGAGTCATATATCCCATTAGAGAAATATTACTTGTACGTATATATAAGTCCCTTCAGTATAGTTACTAAAAGAATGATTTTAAACTAATTGTAACTGGTCTCGAAGTGTTTCATTGGCGAAGTAGTACGAGATTTTACGGCTTAAATGGAATGTGTTTCCCCTTACACATCGACGACCCGTATTATATTGGATGGGAATATTCGGCTTTCATTTTCCTGGGATTAAATTTTACCGGGTAAGCAGAGATGATCGTTAAAAATGGCGCAGTAAACTTTTTATTTATGCATGACCCAGGTAACCATCGTAAAACTCATAACGTTCGGGTCGTTTGAGTGTTACAGGCTGATTACGATTGGTTACGTTTACGCGGGTATGTTCGTGAGCATTTGGAGAACGAGACACGCGTGTTCTCTTTCCGTCGGAGATTTCGAGTTCGCTCTACGATTTTTCTTGATCGTTCTAACGGACGCGGCGTGTTGGGCGCCGATTATTATTTTGAAAATTCGAGCTATGATGAAATGTCCTATCCCAGGTAAATTGTTCATTTACATTTATATGATTTTCTGAATTGTTATTGCACTTGCGTACTTTTCGTAATATGCGCATTTTTATAGAGTAATAAATGAATTAAGGGTTTTTATTTTAGCTGATCTTCACGCTTGGGTTGTAGTATTCATATTACCCGTAAATAGTGCAGTCAATCCATTGCTATACACATTCACCACGCCTAAATTTCGAGAGAGATTAAGCGAAGGGTGGTTTGGGAAGATACGGAACTGCATAACACGAAAACCTTCCTCAGCAGGTATATTTATTTCTAATCCTCTTAATTAAATGATGAAGATGATTAGCATCCAACCTTGTTTTTAATAAACTTCTGTAACAGATTCTCAAATATCTACAACGAGGAGTAACAAAAATATAATATTGTCTTTGCCGAATGGAAAGAATTGTGGTAACAAGATCCCTCCCTTGCTTGGATTTAATACCGAGAGAGTGCAATCATCGGGACAAGATCGTATTCTATGAATTTTCTATCCTAATATCACTCTGCTATTACGTACTCCTATGCAACGAGAATTACTTTAATTAAATGTAATAACGCTTTTATGCTGATTATGAATTAACAACCGGAAATAATATCCACGTATTATCCGTTGCAATAGAATCTCAAAAGATATAAACATGAGTCCTAGATAACCTGCTGTTAAAATCCAAGTGTGCATGTCTTGAAAGTGAAAATTATCTGTATAAAAAATAAAGCATGGTTATTCGAAACTTATGTAAAAATATATTTTACGTTTTTTCGTTAGTTAACTTCTGATAAAGATTTTGATATTATCACAGATTTACTTTTATAATAAAAATATAAAACGTATGGAAACCGATTAATAATTTAATCAGTGATCCAATTAGTCCAATTGATCTCAGACATTAATTATGTTTTAAAAAATCTAGCTAAACCTTGTAAAAGCAACAGATCAAAAGCTCGGCTCTGCAACGATCGCGGTAATAATTTCATGTTGGTAGCTCTTTACGGTTTAATCGTCGTTACGGGTATTCGCACGCGATCCGTGGATGGTCAGAATTTGCTTGCCGAGTTTACGATGCTAAAGGTTCCGTGCAACTCGTTTGAACTCGCGACGTGCAGAATACGAGTCGTTCGCTAAGCCGTCTATAAATTATCCATAACTAAGATCATGAGATTTACATAAAAGTTGATTGTACCTACTTTGACGTATTGACAAATCGTTCTATAATAGTGCACCGGTATCAAAAAATTTGTTTGGGTTCAAATTGACTGTTTAGTTTAGGTACTTACAGTTCTGACAATGAGTAAGAAGGAATAGAATAATTATTTCGATTGTTGTTAACGATATCGGCGTTTCAATGAATATAAATAATTACCGTCGTGTCCTATTATGAAATTTATACTTCATTTTACGTCAACATGATTAATTTTCTGTTTCACCACGGAAATTCCTTAGAAATACATTAACGAAGTTGCGAAAAGTAATTACATAGCACGTCTGCAAATAACTGAATAGTCAACCATTAGAGTGGTATAAAATACGATTTCTAATGATGATCTAATTAAACTTTAAAGGAACGATTTTTAAAGGAAATTTGTACTGACTTACACGAATATGCAAACACATAAAAATGTTTGAGATACTATCACGACGCAAATCAAACTGATAATCCTACAACGTAATTAAATGTTTCACGACCGTGAATCGATATTTGAGTACGTTACGATGGAACGTAAATAATTATGCCGTCCAAAAAGAGACGCATCGTTGCATTTTTCGATCGTTGCAGCCACGTGGGCCGGCTTCTACGCGATATAATGTATAATTTATGGTAGATGGTCAATGGGAGGATCCCGTTAAGGGGCCTCGATACTTGCGAGATACTTCCTCATCTTTTCAAACTGATTTTTCTTTCTTTCATCTCAGTCGACCACGCTCGTTATATTGAAATTCAATAAAACAATCATGGATTATCTTTATCTATCTAATTCTAAGTCAAACATGATAGTGTAAATGTGCCAATTTTCCCGGAAAGTTATATTTTATCACTGATCCTCAATGTCTTAATTGATACTTCTGTTTAACTCTTTGCATTGCGAATTTTTATAGACTTATACATGAAATGCAAATACTGTACACATATATGGATTTTAGGGATAATTGATTAGGAATCTGATGTGAAAATTTCAAAATTCAAAACACTGCAATATGGTGGGTCGAAATTTTTTTAATTTTGTTTATTTGAATTTGGTTCAAAGGTTTAATGAATGGGGATAATCCTTNTTTTAACCGCTTACCTAGTTAATAACATTTACACCGAGATCCAAAATCTTCTTTGAATTTTAAAATCCGAATAAGTATGCAGGTAAGCGAGCAGAACATCGTCCTTGATCCACAGTAGGAGGGTATGTAAGTACGTCGGTGCATGTACTTGGGAAAATACAGGATAGGTGTGCATGAATCGCATTGAGAAATAGCAACGGAGTGCACAGAGTAACCAAGAGTCCGTGGGATCAATGATTCCATTTGAAATAGCTCAGCGGGAGAAATCGTTTTCTCGCGTGGAAAAATAAGTTACGCGACCACGCCACTATGTGTTTCAACGTTATTGTGTCTCATTCATTTCGTTCGTAAAGGAACGCACTTATTTAAGAAACAGAAAATTGTATATTTAATAAGTATAATAATAATTACAAAATATTTTCAATAATTCACAAAGAATAAAAGTTCTCTGTAAATGATTTTCCTTGCCAATGCTAAAAAAAAATAACTTCCACTACGCTGCTATTTCTTAATTTGTTTCCACCTTTACCTGCTAAATTACCTGCTAAAAAGCTAATAAACTGAATTTATTAATTGACTCAAAGTATTGATAACCAGAAACAAAGATAAACATAAGTCTGGATGAATCATATTCCCGTTCTTCGTATAACAGTCCAGTCTATAAGCGTATCGAGCTCGTCGTTTAACGGTGACACTAATCGCCAATCGCCGGTGCAAGGCTGTTCGCAGATAAAGAACGTGAGACGAAAAAAGGAAAAAATAAATTGGCAAGCGATTGGCACGAATCCCAGAACGATGTACACCGTTGGAGAGAACAAGACACGGCGAAGTCGACGCAGGGTCGATCGAATCGCGATTAATCCCCTCTGCCCCGAAGTAAGTTTCTTCTTCGCGAACATTCGTACATTCGTAGGTGGCTTCCTCAGGGTCGAATTGCGGACCGGCGTCGCTGAATACGGATGAGATGATTCATAGAAACGTGCGTGCTGTTCGCTTTTCGAATCGATAATGCCCTGTTCGGTACGACGCGAAACGATGCGATGCGGCCGCGGTTTATACACGGAATGCGTGCTAGCTACATCAGCACGCTCATTATCTTGCAAATTAATTCCTTTCTAACGCGCATGCAAAAATTCGTGTACCTCTAGCGACCTCCTCGCGCGATACCACGAGGGAGGATCGTAATTGTAAGAGGGGTCGTACGTTTTTCCACGATATTTTTCGGCTGTCGAGTGCTACGGTACGTAAGTACTTACACGATTGGAATCTGCATGCAACAACAACGATTCGCAGCAGGCTTAACGGGCAAAGCGTGAACTAAACAAAATTCAGATGTAAATTCGAGACTTGAGGTAACACGTGGCTAATAATTTCACTAGGGCGAAGCGATACAATGCTATGAATTATGAAGGTTGTACGATTTGTAGACAGTGAGGATGGGCTGTGAATTAAATTCTGTAACACTGCAAGTATGTACGTACTTTTTAAAAATAGTTCCAAGAAAATGTGGAATATTCTTTGAAATATGTCCCATTTAATCACTGCAAAGATATGCATGTAATCTCATGATATAAATATCTGCATGCACATTATATTAACTACATCATGTCTTTTCTTTTTCATGTCATTCCATTTTTTGACAAATAAATATGAAATAATTTCCAATAGTGAAGATTCTTGTCGTACGTAATTTTACGAACGTACTGTCACTCTTCTGCTTATCTGTATACATATACATATAAGTATATGTGAGAAGCTACTTGCATAGATCACGTTCCTCATTAGCGAAAGGAACTGAGAGTTTAATATTTATATAATACTCATGCAATAAAACTTTTAGGGTGTCGAAACACCTTCCAAGCCGCACTACTCTGAGATAACTACGTCGTAACGAGTTAATTAACTATAAGATAAATGAATTGTCGCAATATTTCTTTTACGCTTCCTGTTTGTACGATACACCTCCCTTTCACTGCAAGCATTTGTTCCTAAAACTTTTTAATATTACACTGAGGACAACTGTAAGTTTACAGTCAAAATATGAAATGAAAGCAAAGATCATTCCAAAAAGTTCCGATGACCATGCAAGTTCACAATGAGGAACTTTAATTGAATCAGGACACTAACTCAACAGTTGTTTGACAAACCTGTCCAGGAAAGCATCGAGTAAGAAATTCGTTTCGTCGAAGTGGTCAATCTAATGAGAAATTTGTCTTTCTTTATGGAAATGTTGAAAAAAAAAATGGAGGGGTGATCTGCTGTTAAGTGATGCAGAACGGTATTCGAATGCATTTGGATAATTTAGAGGCGAGACCCTATGGTAACAATAGGTTTCCAGCCCGGCTTATCGTGTCAAATCGGACAAGCCACGGCTCGCCTTTATAAGACCTTATACCTTCTACTAAATACGCCACGGCTCGGAGAAAGTCGCCGGTTATATCCCGAATCAACTATGACCTCAAACGGCAGCCTAGTGCTTACCGGAAAGAAAATCATTCCTGTATGTACGTATAGGTACATACGTGACTGATATTATCTGTTCGCGGGGAGCTTTTTGCCTCGTGGATCGGCAACTTCGAGGAAATACAATAAAAAAATTGGAAAGGGATAAATCGAATCGGGTTGTACACGTTGTTACCGGGTGTGTATGGAGCTAGTAGCATGAGAACGTCGAAGAGACTTTTTCTCAGTGTAAATTGACTGCTTCCTAACGATATTACATGAAAACGTACTAAGTCCAGAACTTCTAATTCTATCGTGATAATAGCGTCGCAATCTTTAAACTCCTCTCGCTCACGATTTTGCATTCGTTCCCCGGACCTAGCTGAAATCGTGTCTTCGTGATCGTTCATCAACTGTCTGGAATCCGGTGGGCGTCCTTTTACGTAATTAGGAATCACTTAACCTGTGGTATTCAACTGGTTTCTTTCAAGCTCTTGATCAAGCTGTTCATGAAATCACGTTGCGAGGTACTTAGTTACAATTGCCAAACCAACATTGCCGGATCAAGCATCAGCGAATAATATACATATAGCAGAATTAAAAGTTTTAATTTACGACATGTTATTGCAAACATTTAAATAGTTTTCTTAAGTGATAACAATAATGACGGAATGAAAGCGCGTAAAGATAATACCTTTCGTCTTGCATGCTGATACTTTCACAGGAAAAGTAAAATTTATAAAACNGTGTTGAATAACAGTTAAAACGAATTTGGTGACATAGCAGATTTTTATATGACAATTGCATTCTATAAAATATACGATTAGTAGAGGAAGGACAGAAAGCTGGTAATAACCGTAACTACCGTAACTAGTGAATGTAGCAAAGAATTATGGGAAATCTATCACAATGGCGCGTCACGGCGTTCACGATTATTTAAGACTTACCGTCACTTTTGCCCGCTTACCTCCTGAAAGAACGTAACCCGACAGTCAACCGTAATAATCGATTTCGGAACGAGAGTCGTGTCGTCG